CAAGTAATGAGCCAGCTCTGGGGTTTGTGATGCCTCCAAGAATCTCATTTGTTATTCCAAATGAAATTACCACTGCTACCACTGGTGTGGTTGAGGGAAGTTTCATACCCACTGCTCATACCTGTGGGAATATTCTGTCCCTTCCAAGGCCAACTCAGCAACTCTCTCTTCCATCCACTGAANTAAACACCATGAACCTTCTTCAACACCAAATACTGACAGTACTAACATAGGAGATGGATCTGCAAAAGAACAGTCTAGTAGAGCTAATAACCCCTCAGAAATAAGTGATGAGTACTCTGATATTGATTGCCCTTTTGATGTTCAGTCAATATTAGACAGAGCAAAGACATTGAATCTTCATGATCCTGTTGAAGAGTTAAGATTTTTACAGCAGGAAATTAATGAAGGAAGAGAGCTTGACATGTCAACCTGTGAAGAAACTCTTGAAGGAAATGTTAATCTGATTACTGTTAACCGTGATAATTTGCTTCAATCAACATTCAGTGAACTTGAGTTTATTGACAATTACAGACGCACATTTCGTGTTGACTTTATGGGAGAGGAGTGTGTAGATCAGGGTGGTCCCCGAAAACAGTGGATAAGACTTGTAAATCATGCCATTAAGAAAAAGTACTTTGACCAAGGACTTCGTGAATTCCTTTCAAAGGACTACTTTTTTGTAGGGGTAATGATTGCTATTGCAATGCTCCAGAATGGCCAAATGCCAACCTACATAGAAGAAGAAGTTTTGCAAGAAATTCTTTCATCATGCAAAAACCCCAGTCCATGTGTGCATGAAATGCAAAGAGGACTTGAGAAACTTGGAATGTTATCAGCTCTTCGCCAATTACCCATGTTACAACACCTGATAAGACGAGGTTCTGAAGGCAAGCTCACAGTACCTGTTTTGCTACATCTCTTGAAACCAAGCTTTTCTGAAGAAGGAAGTAATACCTCTAAGCGTGAGAAAGAAGTCTATGAGCTCTTTGTGAGATACATTCGAGAAGTAGCTAGTGGCARGAGAAGCTGTGGAGAAACAACACTTCAGCTAAGTAATATATTGGAATTTGTCACTGGTGCAAGTAATGAGCCAGCTCTGGGGTTTGTGATGCCTCCAAGAATYTCATTTGTTATTCCAAATGAAATTACCACTGCTACCACTGGTGTGGTTGAGGGAAGTTTCATACCCACTGCTCATACCTGTGGGAATATTCTGTCCCTTCCAAGGCCAACTCAGCAACTCTCTCTTCCATCCACTGAAAGGTTGTATTCATTATATGACTTGGCATTTTCCCAAGACTATTTTGGTAAGATATGATATTTTAAGGAAATTTGTTTCTCTATATGTAAGAGAGTGATTGTTTCATAACAAGCAAGAAGATAAATGTTCTTGCACTTAAAATATGTACATGTAATTTGTAGTTTCATACATGTAGTGCATATGTATAAAACATGTATGATTATTCTACAGCACAAGGTATGAGCTGTGGGACAAACACATAAATACCAAAAATTTACAATAGAAAAAAAAACAATCAAAATAAAACAGAAATCATACAATGTACATGTACATTTATAAAGTGCTATAGATACGGATGTAYATTTTGACATTTTAGATAGACAAGGAATGCAATCAAATTGAATGCAAGAGTTGGGATGTACTTACTGTACATGTGAAATCCTATTACAAGTGTAATATTCATGCATTTTAACCAAATATACATAGAACATGTCTAATGTACAAATTTTTAAGTACATACCTTTCCAAGCAGATGTTTGTTGGCACAAGTGAACATGTTATTGCCAAATTGCTGCTATGAAGTTACTAGTATTCCACATATTTATAGTCAGTAGTCTTGAGCAGATTTTAAATCCATTTGGGATTGTTTGTTATACAGTTGAGTTTATTATAAATTTTCATTAATACTTTTAAAACATTGCGTTCCTGTTATCAAAAGGGGCTTACATTTATCAGTACATGAACAAGGTCRTCTACAGATGGTGCAGTATACAGGCATATGGTTGAGTAGGACTTAGTAATCCCCCTATACTTACAATAACTTTTAATAAAACC